CTTAAAATGTATATATTCTCACTTGGATTACAAGCCCTAACATTCTAATATTAAGTCCACCAAGTGAAGTGCAAGAATCCAAATTATTGAAGTCCACCTTATCATAACCCACACACCCGATTACTTAAATATACATGAACTTACGGTTAAAGCTCAACAGCTGGCCTCTGTAGCTCAGTTGGTTAGAGCGCTGCACTGGAATCGCAGGGCCGTAGGTTCAATTCCTACCAGAGGACCTTGTGCTGCATTTTTCGCAGTCGTTCCTGGTTAGGTCTTAAAATGTATATATTACGAACCCTAACATTCTAACCCTAACATTCTAACATTTGAAATTAAGAATTTGGAGGTTTTGCGATCACCGACAACTTGATAATTTTATAAAACAAAACACTTCTATCTCCAACTTTTACAATCACTGATAAATTGATAATAATTTAAACCAGTCTAGCTGTAGTTTAAATAGAGAATAATACATGGGTGCACGAAATACCAGATTTATTTCGAGTGTTGAACATGAGTGTGCAGCGAACAAGTGAGCGCAGCGAACGAGTGAGATGTCATGTTCAACACAAAAAATAAATCTGGTATTTCCAACCACCCATGTATTTTTCTGTTTATTATATAAAGGACAGTCTTAAATGGAAAAGCGATAATGTTTACAGAAAAGCGATAATTGAAAGGCGATAAATTTTTACATGTGAGATTATCATGAATAATTTCACATCTGACATTATCATTTTTGTCAGTGCTCGAAAACTCTGTAAAACACTATACTTTATATAATAAAAATTCATAAATTTGAACCATGCTAGAGCATGACAACAGCAAAATGCTCTATAGTATGATGCACAATATTTTGGGAGGTGATCGAAATACACGAACAATAAATCAGAGAGTGTTTGCTTGGAACTCACTGGGGGGGGGGGAGGGGGGTGCAACACCCCTGATTATTGCTCATGATGAATTTCAGGTAGATTTCCTGTGCACTTTTAGTACGTACATTTAAGTAGATTTGCAGAAGATTTTCAGGGGAATTCAGGTGATTCTCAGGACATGACTGAGAAAGTGAATTTGGAAAACAACTGTATTTTCGGAAAAATTATTATACATGTATGTCCTGAAAATTTTTTGTACATCTGGAAACTTTTTGGTAACCCCCCCCCCCTCTATCTAACCACACACACACCCTGAGACGAAGTGCTCGCAACGGCACTAAGTATATATCTTTTGAAAACAGGCGAGGGGTTATTGCATGCATGTATTTCTAGTATGTATTTGAATTCGGCTAATTTTTACTCCTGATTTAGGCAGAGGATTTTCTGCCCGACGGCGCAGGACCGAAAAGTCACTGAAATTTTTAAAATTAATAAAATTTCAAAATTCCAAAGAGTGTTTGTTTGTTCTTGGGGTAAATACATTTCATTGTGAAAGTAACGAAGAATTTCATTTTATGAGCCGAGAGTCATTGGTCGGTTCTTAGAGAGACAGCCTCTTAAGTGTCTGTCTCACGAAGAACCATGCAGAGCGTTTCAGTTTGAAAATTAGATTTCCTTTATATCTTTACCATGAACTACCTTTGTCCTAAAAGGTATGAAACTAATATTAGAATTTCTAAATTTATTTTTTTTGAGTTATGACGAATTTATGTCTGGACGTCAGCGACACTGAAATTTGACCCCGAAAACGACGGTCAAATGTGTGTTAAATTGTGCATCATAACTCGGAAAGTTTCGCGTCAAATTAAAAACATTTTTCAGCGTATTGAGACATATTCTTCTTCTCTTAGAATGTTGAAAGAATTTGAGTGTACATCTTATTCCCCGAGCCGACGGCGCGAAGCGCCGTGCGAGGGTACTAATTCCCCCCGGCTATTTACTCCCGGGGAAACGAAAGCATTAGCGGAGTCTAAAGTTCATCAAATATCGCGGGCGTGGGTCACCAACGGTGTTGGGTGGGTGGTCATCCTCACTGATCTCAAAAATATGGCGGACTGTCACGAATAGCGGACACTGATTGGTCCAATTTAAAGTTTGCATTACTAGAAAATACATGCATGCAGAAACCCTCGCCTTCCTGACAAAACCATTGTATTTTCCGAACGTGAAGTTCTAAAGTAGTTGTCATGGTAACACGATAATTCTTTAAGAATATTCTTACAAATGAAAAATCGCCTAAAAATATCCCTTTTAATTACAAAATTATTAATTTCCCAACATATATATGCTAGGTATGTTATTATACGTAATATAAGCCTCAATATAAGGTAAAATTCAACCAAAAACGCTTCGCAAAACGTTTTAAAGTGCTGTTTAACTAAACTGCCTTTAATTAAATGGCTTTATCGATAAACTTTGAGTTGCAATAAAATGATTTCAAATTCTCGCTTGCAAATAACTTTGCTTTCTTTTTTATTTAAATAATGCAATATAATAAAAAAGTGAATCAATATTAAAGATACACTGAGCGAAATTATATTCTGTCTTGTTTAGTTGTTTCATATACGCAAAGGCCGTCGCGGGTTTTAAAGCCATTATAAAATCAATATTTAAAACAAACTTACGTTCGTTAACGTCGGCTCCCTTCTTTTAGCCGATTCTTTCGAAGTTTCTTTCTGAGAGAGCTTTTGAAATTTACAAAATATTGCATGAAAAATGCGAGTAAAAATGAAATATATTCGCAAGAAATTTATCAATCATGAATCATCAAATCTAGAAATGTTTGCTATTTCGCTGTCGTCATGCAGTCGTTATAATGCAAACTTTAAATTGGACCAATCAGTGTCCGCTATTCATGACAGTCCGCCATATTTTTGAGGTCAGTGAGGATGACCACCCACCCAACACCGTTGGTGACCCACGCCCGCGATATTTGATGAACTTTAGACTCCGCTAATGCTTTCGTTTCCCCGGGTGTAAATAGCTGGGGGGAATTAGTACCCTCGCACGGCGCTTCGCGCCGTCGGCTCGGGGATAACGACTGCATGACGACAGCGAAACAGCAAACATTTCTTGAGTTGATTTGATGATTGATAAATTTCTTGCAAATATATTTCATTTTTGCTCGCATTTTTGCAAGATTTTGTTAATTTCAAAAGTTCTCTGAGAAAGGAACTGCGAAAGAATCGGCTAAAAGAAGGGAGCCGACGTTAACGAAGGTAAGTTTGTTTTAAATATTGATTTTATAATGGATTTAAAACCCGACGGCCTTCGCGTATATGAAACAACTAAACAAGACAGCATATAATTTCATCTTTAATATTGATTCCCTTTTTTATGATATTGATTTTTTTTAAATAAATAAGAAAGCATATTTATTTGCAAGCGAGAATTTTAAATCATTTTATTGCAAACTCAAAGTTTATCGATAAAGCCATTTTAGAAGGCAGTTTAGTTTTATATTAAAGAACACTAATGACTTTAAAACGCTTTGCGAAGCGTTTGTGTTTGAATTTTACCTTAAATCGAGGCTTATATTACGTATAATAACATACCTAACATATATATGTTTGGAAATTAATAATTTTGTGATCAAAAGTGATATTTATAGGCGATTTTTCATTTGTAAGAATATTCTTAAAAAATTATCGTGTTACCATGACAACTTAGATACTTCATGTTCGGAAAATACAATGGTTTTGTCAGCAAGGCGAGGGTTTCTGCATGCATGTATTTTCTAGTTTTAAGCCTACTGGTCTCCATCCAAGGAAGTCGGTATTTTCGTTTGCTGAACAACTAATGATTAGGTACGAAATTCAAACTAAAAATTCTCAAAAGTGCAATCTACCTGGTGTCTAAAACACTTTTAGGGTTAGAGTAGAATACTTAAAGTTATGTTATTCGCAATAAAACTTGTCGGCAAAAGGAATATGAAGGAGTGCAAAATTCATAAATTATGGCTATAAATAGCTCTATTGTTTACCTTTGTGATAACCGGAAACACGTTGAACGTTACTCGTGCAGCTTTTATAAATTTATATCAGCAATTGCCAATTATCATCAATTTAAAATAGTGTTTATAAGTTCTTATATTTGAATATAAACACCGTCTTGTATTTTTTTTAAGCTTTCGGAAAGCATTTACTATTGATCGTTTTAAACTGGATTAACATTACTAAATAGTTGCACGCCAACATAATGTACAATACAGTATATTATCGTTGTTTAATAAGTACTGATGAGTGTGCCATAAATAGAATACACGCTATATTACGAAAGCAACAATGTACTAAACTTTATAGTTAACTTGCTACCTGGATAGTTATTTTTCGCGTGTTAATTCTTCAACAAACAATGTAATCTCGCAAATTTAATCTTTAATCAAACGTTCGGTTACTGTAGTCTGTATGCCAAGCCAAGGGGATCACGTCTGTAGCCAATTTTAAGTTTCTTTGATTTATAAAATAATAATAAAAAAACACGACAATAATAGAAGAAAATAATAGCAGACGCAATGTATAAAAGCTGTTTTTGTTCTTCAATGCGCCATTGTTAAAAATAATTATTGGAGTATTTTTCAAACTTACTTTTTAAATAATATCAATGATCAATGAACAATGACAGTGTTCCTTGTAATTTCCACACCTGTTTTGTTTAACAGAAAATTAACGCAAAGAAGTGCCGTTTTTAGATATTTCTGGAAGCTTACTAGTTTAGTTTTGATTATGGAGAAAAGTTGTTCATTTGTTGGCGTTGGTGGAATTTCTTGTGGTGGAAGTCGTGCATTACAGGAGATTAGTTGCTTATTTGATTGTAAGGAAGATATGATCGAGTGTTCAACTATCAAACTGTCATATTTCTAAATCGAACTTGAGAGAGAACGAGTTAACTGCTATTCGCGCGGGAATGTTCAATCTTACCGAAGACCAATTTAAGATGATGTTTATTTGTCCGTCCCACCGTCATAATTTGGGACGATTTTGGAGGCCGCTAAGACCGCGTGCCAGTATTCCCTCCATTCGGGTTCCGTTCGTAAGTGTACAGGAAGAGATGTTTTCAATGTGTCATTATCAAAAACAGTTTTTACTCTTTATGGGAAATTAATTCAAATAGGATCTCGTAAGTATTACGCTACTTTTACTTCTTCAAGTGTTGTAATTAGTATTTTAATGACGCAGGTGAAACTGGAGATAACTATCGTAAATTTACGTGTTCTTCATGAAGGAGAATGCGTAAGTTTACGTGTTCTTCATTTTGATGCGAACGCACACAGAGAAATGCTTGTGGACAACTTGTGGAAATTGCTTGCTGATCGACGTATGCCATCGGCTGTATACCACGACGCGTATGATTTATGTGTGACATGTACAAGCAGAAGAGCCTATCTGATTTTAAAATAACGATGCTGAAAGAAATTTGTGCGCATTTAGAACTTCAGTTCAAATCAAAGAATAAAAAACAGACTCTCATAGATAAAATATCATCCATGATGGGCAATGCACATGTTTCCAAATAAATAACTAAATTGTGCCGGTGCGGACAAATCTCCCAGACCGCTAACTTGGACATGTCGAGAGATGTCATTGTTCTTGGTCCGCGAGTGTGTGTAGCCTGCATTCCTGGAACAGTATCATTAACCCAAATCAAGTACTAAAAACGTCGCATGCAAACTACGATGTTATGTATTTTTTATTGCTATAATTTATACTACTATTAATATGAGGCAAATCAAATTTTGCCGAAAAATACCAATTGAAGTTGAAAGTTATTCACAGGATGGCGATTAGCTGCAAACTACTGTAAAATAAAGCGTTTGATAGGGTCGATCATCAGCTGCTTCTCAAGAAACTTAGTAATTTTGGAGTTTGCGGAAACTTGCTGAGCTGGTTTCATAACTGTTTTTCTTAGCCATTTTCACATTTTGGCTTCGAAAATATCTTGATTTTGTCTTGTTTGCGCTATTTTCCGAAGTTATTTATCGACATGGAAACTTATTCTCATCTGGTAAGTATTCAAATACGACATATTTATTATTTTATTATGTATTTATACTGTAAAACAATCATTGTGTTGTGTAATATTTTAAACAGTCAAAACATAGCAGGCAATATATTTGTCGACATATTTATTATTTTATTACGTATTTATACAGTAAAACAATCATTGTGTTGTGTAATATTTTAAACAGTCAAAACATAGCAGGCAATATATTTGTCAATGACAATGAACAATGTCACAAGAAACTAATGTTCTCAGGAGATATTGAATTAAATCCTGGTCCTGTATTTCTGTAGTAAACTCTGTTCGATGTTATCAGTTAAAATACTTATACATTTTGGTTTAACAGTGATTAGAGTTTTTAAACAAAATGTTTACAAACATTTTCAAATGCTAATTAAAGAATCCCCACTCTTCCTCCTCATTATATTGTTATTTTGCTTTCTAACATAAATGTTTTTGTTTAGAGATTAATGAAAGAATGATGAATAAATGTACTGGATATTGGCTAGATAATTTTGTCAAGAACAACCCACTTGCAAGACAATCTTACCTAAATTCATTAGTATGGATAATAACTTGACAGCTACAATAATTATATATTAAATGGATGGATCAGATCAATGGCAAACATTATGTACAAATGAGTTGCCCCTGCTGCCCTTTGTGCTGTCACAGAATAAGAAGGTACAGCAGAAGTGTAACTCGAGTCGGTTCCCTTATTGTTTTACGTCCATGAAAATTTTAACTCGTTCACACCATCCTGGCTAGTACAACCGGAAGTTTTTATCAGGTTTTGGTAGGTGCAAAGTTTTGAATAAGTTTCGAAACAATGCCACGGCAAAAATCCTGCTTTTCGTAATAGAATCTATAGTCTTTTTGCCCTGTTGTACCGCCATCTTGGATTTATCATATAGGCCCCGCCTGCGCTAGGTATGCGTTAGCAATCTAGATCTCCTATATCTATGATTACAAATATTTCGCTCTAGCCTCCTCCGCAGGCATCTCGTAGTTCACGTACTTCAGAAAGTCGGTGAGATGCCTGCCAAAACCCGACATGGTTGAGCCGTTCTGCGCATCTTGCTTGCGCAGCGATTTCGTCTCTAGGGTATGCACGTGGGGAGGATTTGTCATCCAAGATGGCGGATTGCATGGAGTGAAGAATTATGAAAATTAGTGAATTTATATTAATACGCTCGCTAAAGGCGGCTAAACGATTAAGAATACAGCTTTTGTGGACAATTGAAAGAATCTTAACCCGGAAATTAAAATTGTCATCAAATAATTTACATGTTGTCAGTTGACATATATTTTTGTATATCTGTAAATGGAAAACATCAAGGTTGACGTATATTTTTGTATAAGCTGTAGATAGAAATCTTGTTGTAATCTTTTAAGCACTATAAAGATAGACTTTGTGTTAACATCACAATGAAATGCATTTAATTTCATATAATATTTTTTTGGATCAATTATAGTTGTTTTGTGTTTTAAATAATTGTTAATGTCTGGCTGGCATAATTGTTTAAAATAGTACAATTATCATGTACAGTTAGTTCAATCTGTCTGTTCATGGTTGTTAGAAGCAGGACAAAATTACCCTACATATGATGTGTAGAAATGTAAAAAGATAAAATATATTTCAGCTTGATAATTGTGGACCCATTATTAATTGAAACCAAGGCAAGAGCCAGATTGATTTGAGTGAAAAAGCCTTGGTCTGGTGTTTGGTTGTCAGATTGGCCGAGTATGCCAATCAGTGAAGCAACGCCACTGTCTGAAGTCTAAAATTAGCTGGGTTCACTTACTATATTCACTATCAGGGACGTCGCTACCGGGGGGTGTGTGTGGGGGGGGGGGGGTAACCCCCCCCCCCAATAATTGAAACGTTGGTCAAAGTTGGTCAAAATGGAACTGGTATTTGCTCAAAGTTTGTCAAAATGGAACTGATATTTGCTTAAAATTTAAGGACAAAGTTGGTAAATTGTGGTTAAATATTGGCAAGCCTTGCTTATTTTGGTCGAAAAATTTATAAATATGCTTATATTAGTCTGGAAAATTTTTTTACCCCCCTGTCGACAACATTTCCGGGTTTACGACTTGGTCAAAATTTTATTAAATATTGATCAAAACATGACGACACCCACCCCCAATGTTGATGCCTTAGCGATGCCCCTGCTTACTATACTATGTCTTGTTTCATGTGTGCACTAGTGTCCAGTACCTGCATGGTGTGAATTGCACTGTACAATCCAGCAGTTAAACAATAACATGGTAGATGATTATAATAATAATTTTTTAATTTTTTTTTAATCCAAATGAAGATGTTGAATTGTCAGGATTTCTATGCAAGAAACTAGGTGCTATTTTGCATGTCTGAGATGGAGACTAAGTTGCTGCATCCTAGAAAGTGTGAACAGCAAGGTTTACATTGTACAATTAGCAGCTTCAAGGCTACAACACATGGACAAGCAACCATTGTCAATGACAACATTGATCAAGCATGTCATAACCTGCCAGATAAAATAGTGACATAATTGAACATGGCCAGCATTTTGTTCTGCTGACACCTTCTTTACAATATAACATGTTTTTAATGGATGAAAATGGGATAAAAAAATAAAAGTAGTGTAAACTGTTGTCTATGCTCACAATTTCCCTGTGACTTATTTTTAAATCACATCGCCTTTTATCAGAAATTGCATTGCAAGTTGCAGATTTACTAGAGGGGGGTGCACCCTCCAAGCCCTGACAGGAGAGGGTGAAGGGGGTGCTTTTTTCATGATAAAGCAAAAAATAATAGAGACAAAATGAGATACAGTAATTTGAGCAATAACATGATAAGCAAACTGTGAACAACAATTCAAATTCAAATGTAGTATGTTGATGGGCGAGTGGCACACATGACCGACACAACTCTGCACCAGAGCTTCAGTGGCGCCGCCAGCTCGATAATTGGGGGGGGGGCGAATATTCATATCTTCGTGTTCTGCATTATTAACTTCTTTTGAAATTGATTGTTTTTATGCTCTGTGAACACAAATATATGAATATTCGCCCCCCCCCCCCAATTATCGAGCTGGCGGCACCACTCGCGCAGAGCTTGCAGAGCAGCCCCCTACCAGATCATGCTGGATCGATCCCTGTATTATTTTATTTACACATGGAGGTGTATCTCTTTTGGTGGCGTAAAGGCATGTTTCTTGACACAAGTGACAATCCAAATTTTTAGATGGCTGTTTAAAATTTTAGTCAGCTGGATGGCAGGCTGGTTAATACCATGCAGTAATGCAGTAGAATAATCTTGAGCATAACATCTAACATAATACAGCAACAATATAAAATGTATAACTTTGCTTGATTTATAGTTACTGAATATATAAACACTTCTTACATTTGGTCAACTTGCACAATAGTTGCTTGAAATTTGTGTTACAAGCACAGTCAGCACTAAGCAGTTTACTCAGCGTTTACATAGTTGTTTACATGCTGTACATGTACTCAATAAATCCCCGAGATATTTCTCGCTATAGTAACATACAGCGTAAACATACAGCGTAAAAACACATGGGATTGTAAATTTCAAGTTTGTTCTTTGCTGAAATATCTCAAAATGTGTGTTCACAAACCAGTTTCAATGTCATGCATGTCCACTATACGTGTAACAGTAATCGAGTAATTCCAAGAGGCAAGAGCATCCATTATCCAGTTGAAATTTTAACATTTACCACTCCATCTGTATTCTAGAGTATTCCATTTCCCAAAAGTATTAATATTTGATGTTATATGCATGTAGGATACAGACCAAATATAAACTGAACGGTTGCAAAAATTCGTATAAATTCCATTCACATTTCATACTTCGTCTTTCGATCGCCATCAAAAAGTTACCATTTTAGGAAAAACATCCCGATCAATACCCGTTCTATCAGGTGTTCCTCAGGGTTCAATCCTTAGCCCTTTATTGTTTCTTGTATACGTGAATGATCTGCCCGAAAAGTCCACCACATCGTCTGTTGCTCTGTTCGCTGATGATACCAAGTGTTATCATGCCATAAAAACAACAGATGACGTAAAAGCTCTCCAATGTGATCTGGATGGAATCAGCCAATGGTGTCGGACGTGGCGCATGAACCTTAACGAAACTAAGTGTGGAGTTCTTAAGGTAACAAGGAATCTCAAACCCGTGCAGTCATCTTGCCATCTCAACAACGATAACTCAGCCAACTCAACGGTCATCCGCAAAAGGCTTGTTCAAAAAGATCTTGGCGTTCTCATTACTGCAGATCTCAAATGGAACCAACAAGTCTCTGCTGTATGTGCGAAAGCAAACAGAATGCTTGGGTTCGTAAAAAGGTCCTCCATTAAGATGCATGATCCTCGTACACGTACCGCACTTTATAAAACGTTAGTACGAAGTCGTTTCGCGTACATCTCCCAAGTCTGGTCCCCGCAGTCTGTGTCTTTAATCCTCGAAGTCGAGAAGATTCAAAGACGTGCAACGAGATTCATCCTATCGCTGCCGTTTAGATCTGAAACTAGTTACCAGGAGAGACTATTGAAAACTGGTTTACTTCCTCTGTCTTACTGGCACGAGTACCTGGACTTGGTGTATCTCTTTAAGGCAATTAAATTGAATGACTCTCAGATTAGTCCCCGAGCCGGCGGCGCGAAGCGCCGTGCGAGGGTACTAATTCCCCCGGCTATTTACACCCGGGGAAACGAAAGCATTAGCGGAGTCTAAAGTTCATCAAATATCGCGGGCGTGGGTGACCAACCGTGGGTGGTCATCCTCACTGATCTCAAATATATGGCGGACTGTCATGAATAGCGGACACTGATTGGTCCAATTTCAAATTTGCATTATAACGACTGCATGACGACAGCGAAAAAGCAAACATTTCTTGATTTGATGATTGATGAATTTTTTGCTCGCAATTTTGCATAAT